AAGCCGCTCAAAATGATTTCTGGATAAATATCTCCTCCAAGCACAAGGTCCACTTGCTCATTAACAAAGAACCTTTTATCGGCCAAAACCAATTCTGGGAATGCTTGTTTAGTTACAGCGCTAATATTGGTAGTTGGAAGATTTCCAGTTAGTTGTGCTAAGACAAGCACAGTGGTATTCGACCGGAATAATGGGTCAATCGGTGACCGTATTTCTATATTGCATGCTTCTTTGACCTGCGCCGATATAGAATTTGTGATGCCGGAAACTTGGGCATGCAACCTTTTGGATGGCAGGTTGATTCGGAGTTTGAGTCTTTCCGTTATAAAGGAACACTCAGACCCGGAATCAATAAGAGCTCTTGCAGAAAAATCGGTTCCATTATAATGTATATTTACGCGCGCTCTTCCTAGGAGCACACCAGTACTTGAATTTGCAAAACAAGACTTGACATTTTTGTCCCCAGCTGAATTTGGTTTTCCTGTCTTGCGTCTTGTTTGTGCTTGCCTCGATTAAGATGCTCGATTACCAGTTGAGCTTGGCGGCATTTGGTGCGCTGTAGGCTTTTGCTGGTCAGTCTCAAGGTGCAGGAGCGTGTGGTGTCGGGAGTGCTCGCTATCGACATAGTTGATTTCAATAAAACGTTGAAAAATACTAAATCCATTATTTCACTATTTTTCTATTTTTTTTCCACATTATAAAACACTGGTGCGTCCAATTGCGAACCTCGCGATGCCCGGGGTTTTACATTTTGGCCCTTCGAGCCGTGAGAGTTTGAAACACTAAAGTTCATCACCGCCATTTCTTGTCAGATAGAGCGAGTTTTTTGGACACTGCCACAAGTGTAACACCAGCGCGGTTCTACATCAATACAGTCCATTGGTTTCAAATCACATACAGCGTATGTGCCTGATTGTCAACGGATTTGCCCTAAACCTAACAAAGACATCACAAACCGCACCTGTGCATCAATCAACAAATACCACTTTCCATTGAGCGTCCTCACACCAAAGTCACCGACGAAACAAGGTACGTGGTTACACACATATTCAAGTGCACTTTCAAAAAAAAAATAAAAAATCATAAATCTATTTATTTTGTGAGCAATTTTGCTATACATATTTATATTGCATAGAAAAAACACACGCAATTGCAAACGAGATTCACGCGGGTGATTTTGTAAGGAGCGAAAATTTGTGCATAGCTTTTCAAATTACCAAACGAGCTAATTCCGTCTGTCCGCGAGTGACAAAGACGGCTCAGATTGGTTGCAAAGTTCACATTTTTACATACATAATCACACAAGTGAAAGGTGCCACAGTCAATTAATTTTCAGTTGCTTTGATATCATTTGTTTAATTCAATTAGTTCAAATAATTTCCCGAACCGATTCTATACGTCCACGGCTGGTAACAGACAATTGAAGATACACACACATACACACATAAACGACAGTGAAAAGAGGTTATCAGTTGCAATTCATCTGTAATATATGTAATTGACTCTGCTGGTCTTTTGATTACTTCACCACGAATTTAATTTTTATTGTTAGTAAAACGTATTACTTATTACTTGTGCGGCAATAGTTGCAAAAAATTCGCGAACCACATTATGATCACTGATCGTCAGAGGACACATAACCTCTTTGTCTGAAACGTGCACGGTAATTTGCCTTTAACAATAACACTTTTTTCACAAAATCACGTCTGCGTGTGGATCCCTTGCAGTATTAATTTGCGAGTATAATTATTGTCTTGTGAACGTATTTGCAAATTACACACATATTTAATAGCAGTTGGGTGGCGAGTCACAGCATATATACAGCTTTCATATCCTATTTCAATCCCTGATAATTGAAAGAGAGAAATATATTGAGTTAAATAAAGTTTTACCATCACTATTTTATATATAAATTTAACGGCTACTTTTTCAATTGCGGAAATTACTTCTTCTGTTTGGCGTTTCGACCACAAGAGTTGGTATCTTTTTCAGCGGCAGAAACTTTCGTTTATTGAATACTTGGCGAACAAATTCGATAATCTAAGCATTTATTTTTGTTTAAGAGTAAGGAGGTTGCTACCACGTATTAAAGCACATCGTCGAATTTATCTGTGATTGATTTTAATCCAAGTACCATTTTTAAACATGGAGTCGTTCATTCGTTTGGCAGAGGCAATAATCGAATTTGAATCCGATTTTAGCAGCACGCCACCTGCAGAGCAAAATAAACATGGTCTTATGATACTTAAACAAGGGTATGATACTATAATAAACAAAGAAGGGTTATCGAAAGAAGACATTAAGGCCATAAGGAGAAAACATAAAAGCTCGTTCGCTAGCTATGTTAAATGCATCTCTGCCATGGCAACTCAGTCCGAAACGCTTGTTAACGCTTGTTAAAGGATGTACAAGATCAGTCGGTCCGTGAACACAATATCCACCTACCTCCGTGTGATACCGATGTGTTCAAGGGTGACTATCTGTCATGGCCATCATTTCGTGATATGTTCACGGCCATATACATCCTTAACAAGCGCCTCACTCCGGTTGAGAAACTATTTCATCTCAACCAAAAGACTCAAGGGGAAGCCAGAGACATCGTGAGAAAGTGTCCACTCACAAACGAAGGCTTCCAAACAGCCTGGAAAAGTTTATGCGAGAGATATGAAAACAAGCGTATCCTCGTAAATACACAACTGAAAATACTTTTCAATTTAAACTCAGTGGAAAATGAGTGTGGTAGCTCAATAAAAAGGTTGCAGCGGGATATAAATAATTGCTTATCGTCCCTAAACAGTCACCAAATTAACATTTCAAACTGGGATGCAATTATAGTCTATCTCTGCTCCACCAAACTTCCAGAAAGTACGCTGGCTCT